AACGCGTCAATATAAGCATAATGCCGCTATTATCTTTATTGATTTTGAAAAGGTGTATGACCATGTAGATTGGTATTTCCTTAATAAATGTCTGCAAAAATTAAACTTTGGTCCAAACTTTCATCGACGGATTACAATTCTTCACCAAAATGCCACAACAAGAGTAATGGTAAATGGTAATGTGGCTCCACGAATAACTTTACACCGATCAGTAAGATAAAGAGACCCAATAGCACCCTTCCTCTTTGTAATCATAATGGAGACACTGACTGCTAACCTAAGAAAAAATCGAGATATTAAGCGCATCCAAATAGCATCAATCCCAGACGATGCGATCCCTGTCTGTTCACTATTTGCAGATGATCTCTCTCTTATGATTGATGCCTCACATGACAATCTAGAGACGATTCAAGCAATGATGGACAAATTATGTCGATTATCGGTTATGAAAGTCAACTGGGGTAATAAAACTTTGGGTTGGTGGATTAATCATCAAGGAGTTCGTCCTCTAGAAAAACCGAGAGTAAAATGATTCTCATTGGACACATCAATAAGGGTCCTAAGAGTCTCCTTATCAGCAGAAAGAAAACATACGCCAAATAATGATTGGATATCACAACAAGCTCTTACGAAGCTTGAATTATGGAAGGATAAATATATATCTATTATGGGACGAGTCTTTGTTATTAATAATGTAGCCCTGGCCTCTATATGGTATGAATCAACTATTTGGGCGATGAACAAAGCTGCACTCAAAACTCTTCAAAAACAATTAGTTTTTTTTTTTATGGAGAGGTAATCATGAGTGTAAAAATGTAATTAGCAGGGTGGTTTGGCAATCGGTGATTCAACCAAAAATCAAAGAAGGATTGAGATTGATTGATCCTACCTTACAAGGAATGACGTTGTTCATTCAATGGATCAAAAAATTGATATTCAATCCCCAAACTCCTTGGAATTTCCTGGCATGGGAACAAATCAGAAGGCTAGCACGTGAAATACCAGAAATCGTAGATCCTTTGTTGTGGTTGGACAACAAGTCATGGTCTATCCCTAGAAAATACTCAAGAGAGGATGAAAAATTATTACAGACAGACCGCACTACAGCAAGGATTGACATAAGGAAAGACCCCTTCTGACCTACTTTGCTAAAAACATGGGGGAAGTTACCTTTGCAAGACAAGGTGGCACGAACACGGTGAGAGAAAGTATGTCAACAACCCTTTTTTAATAATTGTTGGATTAGGGATTCACAAGGGTATATGTTGCATTGCATGGATGTGTTGTGGAAAGATTGGGTTAAAAGGGGGGTATTGCGTATCAGGGATATTTGGAAGGAGGATGCTAAGGACCGGATCTTGCCCTGCGAATTACATGAGCGACTTAAGCATTGTCATCAGGTGGAAAACTCCTTAGAGAAAATTATTGAACTAATCCCATTGGACTGGATTCGTATCCTCAAAAAAGACCTTAAAATTGAGGAAGGAGATTGGGTAAGCCTTTTTAATCAGTCCCACCTGATTGGTAATGTCATACAAATCAACTCAAATGGTGAAATTCTTCTCTTGGTATTTAAGATGACCCAAGACAATGCAGTCATTCGAACAGAGGAGTGCTATGAGTGAATAACCAAAGCATCTTCATGATTAGAGTACCTAAACAAAAGGATTCGTGGATAGCTTTCAGGCCCAACACACCCATCTCCCACCTAGCCCTTGATCCTATTAACTGGGTCTAGACGACACATGTAGGTAATGGTCGTCAATACAAGAAAACAATTCATACTCTATCAGTTAAATCCACATACAGAATGTTAAGACCTAGTATAAACTTAAAAGACAGAATAATGACTAGGTGAAAGAATCAACTTAATCTGAGTAATGAAGAGCTCAAACCAGTTAGATGGCTCATAACTATTAAGTCAAAGCCAGCCAAGGTAGCTTTGCTACAATGGCAAATTGAACACCGATGTCTTCCAACAAATGACTGGTTGAGAGACAGAACCTCATTGGAACAAAAAGGAAAGGCGCTCCTTTGGTGTAAGTTTTGTAAAACGACATTCCCGGCAAAGACCATACCTGAAACTATTGAACACATTTTTATGCAGTGCCCAGGGTCTGTTTGGCTTTGGAGATGGTGGGATCAAATTTGGCAGCAACTTGGTACTCAATATCAATGGCCATGAGACTGGAAAGCGATATTGCTAGAAACATGGAATCCAAACCCAATTGATGACTTCACTCTCAACATGTTTACTGAAGGAAGAAAAGTTGTTATTTGGGCCATATGGAAGTGGAGGTGTACGTATGAAATGAAAGGGGTAAGATTGAATGGCAAAAAATTCACTGAGACAATCCAGCAACAAATTCAAATAGTGATCATAAATAAGTGGGAAGTTACAAAGGAAAAAATTAAACACTTGAATTCACACACTGAAATTCTAAAATATATCAAGGAATTTTTCCGATGCTGGCTTGGTAGTCCTGAAGGAGGGAAAATGGGTTCAGTCAAATTGGAAGGAGCTGAGATGAGAGAAAATGAGGTACTAGACAAAAAATATTATTTGAAGTTTGGTGATTGGTTGAAGGTTGACCCAGGGATGCCTTTAAGATGCATGGCAGAATTTCCAGACCCCTTTCCCCCATCCTCCAGCTCATTAGTTCCAAGGTCATGGTATGGTTATGATTAACTTATGATTATGTTATGACAAATATAGATGCAAAAAAATTAGAGGATTCACAGCTTGATGTTAGAGTTGAGATCTGGCGCCCCTGGTGAGGTGAAGAGGTTGTGTTTTAGCTCTGTTTTATCTCTGTTAGAAGGGACGCTGAGCCCGGTTCTCAGTATGTTCGGTGTGGTTGTTCCGGGTAGACTGTGAGGACCCCGACCTCAATCTTCCTTCTGTCAATGGGCCCTGTTTAAAAAAAAAAAAAAAAAAAAAAAAAAAAAAAAAAAAAAAAAAAAAAAAAAAAGAAAAAAAAAAGAAAAGAAAAAAAGTAGGCAGTTTTAGTCTCGCCCCCCCGCTCTTATATTTTTCTAAAGCTTGTCGAATGTTCTAAATTTTGGCCAATTTGATTTTCTAGTAGTTCCTAGTCTCATTTTCATGAAATTTTCTGATGAGTTTTCTGAACGTACTCGTTATGGGATGCTGGGCGCGGTTCCCAGTTTGTGCCCATTTGTGAGGATATGGTTGTATCTATGGGACGCTGGACCCGGTTTCCAGCAGGTGCTCCTCCCCACCAATAGATGGAGCTTGGTTTTTCAAAAAAAAAAGAAAAAAGAAAAAAAGAAAAAAAAAAAGAAAAAAAAGGGCACACAGAGAGGCCCTCATTGCAGCCATTGCACCAAGCTGGGTCGCAACACTGCAACCGGATGCGGATCATCCTGCAGGGACCTGGCGTAGAGCTGAAGACCAGTCCAGTCGTGTGCTACACATAAAGGACGCGGACCAAGGAGGAGTAAAAAGGATTCAGAGCTGGAGATTACCATTAAGGGCTTTTACCTTGGGAGTGATGGAACTGGAAGATGACAACTTCCCCTTGATAGATACCAGACACTTGGAGGAAGTAAGGGTGGTTTTGCAGACAACGACACAAAATATAACGACAGCCATCCTGTTGGGAGATGCAGCTCACTTCAGAGTTGAACCTCTCCTATATGGTTGGGAGGTACAATGGAAGTACATACCATTAATCCAGTACAGGCCAAAGGTGGGGGTGCAGCACCAGCAAAAGAGCCTGAAAAAAATTGCTACGACCCTGGCGGTGCAACGGGCGGAAGCCCACCAACTGAGGGGTGTAACAGACCAGACACTGAGCAGATTCTGGAAGGCACTCACAAAAATCCCTGTTCAGAAGCATGCAGGTATCATGTGGATTCAGTCGTTATTGGTAACAGCCACTGCAATGTGGCTAACATCGAAAGGGATGGATGTATCCACAGTCTGCCAGCGGTGCAATTGGGGTTGGGAGAATATGATTCATATCTGGCTTTATTGTTCGTTAGCGGATGAGCTACTTCAATGGTGGAAGTCCCACTGGGAAAGGTTTACGGCAGGAGAATTTGAGTGGTCGGACTCCTGGATGCTCACAGGGATTCTTCTCCCTGGGCATGGATATTCCACAGACTGGGGATACATTGCCCTCTGTTGCAGAGGAGTGATCATGGAGGTCATTTGGAAGGCTAGAAATGCCAAAGTCTTCAGAAATGAGGATGTCTCACGAAAACAGCAACACCAGCAAGTAAAACAAGGAATCCGAAGAATCATCCCTGCCGACTGGCAAGGAAAGAAGGGCATCTGGTTTCAGAGGACCTGGGCCAGGAAGGGAAAGCTAGCCTCAGTTAATAAGGAAGGTAAAATGGAGATTTGCACTTGGCTGTCAGACACTCGTGATTAATTTTAAGACAGTTCGGGTGCCAAGTTGTAAGACGAAATGCTGTACACTGAATACTAGTGAGTTGTCAGAAACAACCTGGGAAAAGAAGTCTAACTGGCAATAGCTTAAGGAGGCTACTAAGGGTTAGTCTGACACACATGGTACAGGTTGTGTTAGTCTGAGACCTGCCAGAGAAAGCTGTAGCAGGCAGGCCATTGGTGAATGAATAGAACTTTTAAACTGGATACCAGATCAAAGTTGGTGGTAGGAGGGTGAGAATTGTAATTGTTAGTCCTAGCCACAATTTTCTGAGCTTCAAGGTTTACTCTTTTGAGGAGTTTACTCCCTGAGAGAGGGTAATGAGGTCGTGGGACGCTGGACCCGGTGTCCAGTAAGGTTCTGATACTTCCGGGTAGAATTGTGAGGTCCCCGCCCTCGACCATTCTTTGAATGAAAAAAAAAAAAAAAAAGAAACGTAATGTCTAACAAGATCCTTAGCCCAGGTATCGTTTGGGCTCCCTTAGATGATCATATGTATTGCGGCATGCACTGTGTCCTGTGAATGATGCTGATGTCTGTGGGGGCTGGGAGTGCAGCGGCGGTGTTTGGGGTTCTAGCGACCACGGTTGAGAGAGATCGTCCCCGCGCGCATTGCACAGGGCAGGTCCGCGCATCCACCGACATTGCCGATGTTTACCCCGCTGTTGTAAATTGTCTGCGAGGTAAGGTGCTATCCTCGCACCTGTGTAGGCTTCCTCCTGCCCTCGCTGTTCTTCCTGTCTTTTCGTCCTCCTGCGTCTTACTTTTGTTCCTTCTTCTCCTCGTCCTCGTCCTCTTCCCACTCGTCGGCCTCCTCCTCCAGCTGGTTCTGCTTTTGCGTTTTCCGTCCTCCTCAGTCCTCTCCATTCTCCTCTCCGCCTTCATCCACGTCCATCGACTTCTTATCCGTTTTCCTCTTCTGCTCTTGCATCAAACCTGCTCCCACTGCCCTCGACCTCTTTGACTTTCCCGACGGGTCGGGCTCACTTTCTTCCACCTTACCGTTCTCGAAAAGATGAGAGAGAGAGAGAGAGAGAGAGAGAGAGAGAGAGAGAGAGAGAGAGAGAGAGAGAGAGAGAGAGAGAGAGAGAGAGAGAGAGAGAG